GATGCCCTTCTCCCCTTTTGGCCCTGGGATCCCAGGGGCTCCCGGGGGCCCCTTCATCCCGGGCTCGCCCTTCAGCCCCGGCTGTCCCTGCAGCCCCGGAGCACCCGCCTTCCCTATGCCGGGAAGCCCGTGAGGCCCCGGCGGTCCTTGTGGCCCGGGTATCCCCATGGGCCCGACCTCCCCCTTTGGCCCCATCTCCCCTCTCGGCCCCGGGGGCCCCATGACCCCCGGTTTCCCTGGCATCCCCGGCAAACCCGGCTTCCCAATTCCTGGATACCCTTGCGGGCCTGGTTTTCCTTTGGCTCCTGGCACACCGTGACCCGGTAATCCTGGTGGCCCTGGTGGCCCTCTTGGTCCAGGCTCACCGGGGGGACCTTGCTCGCCCCTCAGACTGCGTATGGGCATTTCTGGGTCGGGGAGAAAAGAAAAAAAGAAAAGGGGAGGGGGAGAGACAAAAGGTGATTGCAATCGCATCCTTCGAGAAACACAAAGGCAGTTTTGAATTGAATGTGCTTGTTTTGATGCCTCTCGGTTTTGCGGTAGTCGGGGAGGCAGAGCTGGCCAGCGAGTTACAGGTTGGCGTTTGGAACGAAGAGGATGTTCCTACTGTTTTGCATACCCCAAATTTGCGTGCATGTCTCTGTTCCCATAAAATAATTATTTTGTATCATATTTGCTGATTTTTTGCCACGTAAAAGCCATTTGCACTTACTAGTGTTTTCCACCTATACAAACTTAAGCAGCGAAATCTGCTTTTTGTCCCATATTGCTGTAGACTAACCTATTTTTAAGAGTTTTTGCAGGACTTAGAAGCTGCTCAGTGCTCCCGTGCTGTAGGAGGAGATCTGGCATAAAAGTGCTTTTGCTGGAGGGGCTTACACTAGCAAGATCAATTAAAAAAGATTCTATCAGTAAGAAGTTTGTACGTAGGTATGACTGCATTTTCACCAAGGCTTTGGTTCCCATTAAGATATGACTGGAAACCTACAGCCTTACCCAGCATTGCTAAGCTCCCACAGGTTTTTGGCGTAGCCACGTCTATTTAGAGCTCTTCTAAACACTTCACAAAATGCTTTTATTGTCCAAACCCACATTTTTGTCTATGTGACCACTTAGCATTGCAGGTCAGGGGGAGGGAGTTGCCGCGTGGGAGTGGTTGTGCTGGGGTTGGTTGCTTTTCAAGCTGCAGGCTTTTTCTGTTAAGTGGAAAGTCTGCTTCTCTCCGGCTCTGAAATGGATAAAGACACGAGAGATTTTGGGGAAGGGGACAGATGAGGTTTCAGGGCAAGAGAATTAACTGTTCTTTGGGAGGCAGAAACCCTCCCTCTCAGCACATGTTGTGTTTTATGCGCATAGAAAACCTCATTTGCTCACAAGATGGGTTGGTTTTACTATAGCCAGTCGTGCTTGTTCAGACAGTCCAAAGATAGGCCCTGAAATCTTCGATTTCCCTCTGAAGCCAGCGGAGGCTATGGTTACGCTGAACCCTCAATAAGATGAAGAGTTAACCAGCTTGTCTGAAGTCGCACGGATGCTCACTGTCCCCACAAGGATTTTATGACACTGGGTGTTCCTGGTTGCCCTTTGTATTTTGGACATTTTTTGTTGTTTTCTTAAATATCCTAATATTGTCCAAACTTCCTTTACTGAATACTGAAAGTGCTTGTACATGCAGACTCCTGTACCTTCAATGCCTCCGTTACTCCCATAAATAACCTACAGAAAGAGGACTGCAGAGTCAGAAGAGCAATTGTATGTTTTTATCTGCAAACCTCTAAATCACAGGGTCTAGACAAATCCAGACAAAACTGTGATATTCCCGTAAATTCAAATCTTGGGACTCTTAGCTCTTATTTCATGTACAGCTGCTGCAGTGAGAGTGGGAGCACCTCCAGGCAGCACCCAGGCCCGTCTACCTGGGCCACCATTTGAAACCCCATCAGAGGTTCTTCTGCAGGCGGATGGGATTACGAGGTTTCTCCTAGCCTCGAGCAAGCACCCAAACAAACCTGGGGCCAGCCCCGGGTGCTGGAGGCTCGTCACAGGTAGGGCTGCTCAGAGGCTGTGCTGCAGCCCGGAGGATGACTGTGGCTTTGCTCTGGTGCCCTGAGCTGCCCCACAGCTCATGTGAGCCCGTTTTGTCCACCCGTGGCCAGCTACCAACCTGGCCAGCCCTCAGAGCACCTGAGTGCCATGCCCAGCCTGCAGCAGCCTGCTCGCCATCCTCAGTTACCCCCGGGGCAGAGGGTGCTGTGGGGCACCAGGCAGGACTGTGCAGGGGTGGCGAGGGATGCGCCAAACCTACCTTTCTCTTTCTTGGGAGCCATGTCCTTGCCGAGCAGAGGCATCTGCGGGACCTCCTTCATGTACTGAGGCAGATGGGGGTACTCCTTCCCATACTGCATATGGGGCACCTCCTTGCCCATGTGCTGCATCGGGATGCCTTCTTTGCCCAGCGGCATGTGAGGTACTTGTTGTCCAAGGGGTTGGTACTGGGGCACCTGGGGTGGCAGCTGCTTGATCCCATAGTAGACGCCGCCTTGAGCAGACCTCACCAGCTCTAGGTAAATGGTGACAGCCACTGCCAGCAGCTGCACAGGGAAGAGCAGCACGGCCATCACCTGCGAAAAACACAACAAAACCCACAGTTGGCAGAAAATGTTTTTTTGTGTCGTACGTTTCCCATTGAGGCCAACCTGCTCTCATTTTCTGCAGCAAACTGGACCTAAACCTCTGCAACTGGCTCTGGTTTGTGTGTTGCCCTGGAGGACATCCTGCGGCAGGCCTGTATCTGGTTTATTGGAGGCTCTTGCTCAACTAGTACTACTATAGCAAATGTCCTTATATGCATTTAGTTTTATACTACCCCACACACCCCGGGCGGTGCCCTCTGCAGTTTCTCCGTAGGGGGGACCTGCTCCCTCCCATCCCCAAGCTGCAGTTTGCTGCTTTCTCGCTTGTGTCAGTGCCACGACACAAGGTTTGGGGAGCTCTGCTGCAAGCTCCGGCACAGGGAGAGAGCGGGCAGGGGCATGTGGGGATCTCTGAAATGCTTTCTGCCCAAGGAATCTAAATTACCAACGCCCCTTCTGCTATGCTTTCCTTAGCAATGAAAGCCTAGTTTCTGCAGCTTAAATCTGTGCCTAGGATTGCGCCCCGTGGCTGCAGTGTCCAGGGGCTCTCCACTCCTATCGCAGCTCCTTGCCAGCTCTCCTCCTGAGCTGGGCTCCGATCCTCTCAGCCTTCACCCAGAAGAACAGGGCCATCTAGGGGCTGTCTGGGCCATCACTGCCCTCGGGCAGGATCAGACAACCCGAACTATTTTCTACAGGCCTCCCCCGCTGCAGACCCTGTCCCCTCCCCAGGCAGCCCATCCCATCGCCTCACCGGCCCTGCTAACACAACAGAACAGGGTTGGTTTTTCTTTCTTTTTCTTCCTTATCAAAATATAAGCTTGGGACCTCTTGTCCCATCTGCTGTTGGCTTTCCTTTCTGCAGTAGCGGCGTTACTAGCAGGTGAGCAGCAAATCAGCGACCAGGAATTCCCTAAATGAGTGCATATTTGGGGGCAGCCTGAGGTAACGAGGAGACTCTCTGTGTGTTACAGTTCGAGTATTTTGCAGTTTGTCCCGCTACCTAGCCCGGTAGGCATGTCCTGCTCTTTTGAAATGCACGTGGCAATCGCCAGGCTTGATGCTGTCCCCGAATCCCTGCTTTTCCACAGTGCAAAGACTCCTTGCACCCAACCTGAGCTGCTGGAAAAGCCCCCGCCACGCAGGCACACCAGCGGAGCTTTGCCAAACCGCTCGTCGGAACTCGTTCACAGCGGCTGCTGGGCCCCACTGAGCCCAGGTGTGACGAGGGTGGCCTGAGGAGGCAGCAGGGGCTTTGCGCCACCTGCTTATTTTCCTTGTCCTTCTCCCACAGCCTGGCTTGGCAGAGGATGAAAAAGCCCCTCCACCTGTGGCAAAGCGGCTCAGCACCAAGCCCCCTTCACCTGGTTCCTTGTGCCTTGGGAGGTATCTTTTGGATGGCGAAGCTTTTCCCTTTTCCTGGGAAAAAAAGTTGGGGCTGGGGCTGGTCCCCACTTGAATCTAGCTGCTCGCGGGGCTGCAGCCCCGGCTCCCCTGCGCAAGGTGATGCTGCAGTATGTGGGAGTACCCCCCAGCCCTCGCTTGAAGGGCAGCTTGACATGGGCCAGGACGTGTCCTCCCAGGGGCAGTAAGGAGATGTGGCTTTGGGCAGGTAAGGCTGCTGCTGCAGAGAGCTGGGGGGAAGTGTGAGAGGGAGGTGGGGTTGGGGAGAGGAAATGTATTTACAGAGGAGGGGGCAGTAAGCAGCCCCGCTCGCCTCCTCTAACACTGCCCTGTGTACAGCGGGCCTCTAAAAAGGGCCCCAAAGTAATTGGGGAGGGTGGGACTTTGCGTCGCATCTATGAGGAACTTGTGCCTGGTGGGCAGAGGGTGTGAGCGGGCTGCAGGGCAGCTGCAAGACTTGCCGAGCTTAGGGAGTGGGTCAGTGGCACCGCAAGCGTTGAGCCCTGCAGTCGTGACTTGCATTTTCCTCACTCCGCACTGTACGGCTCGGCTGGGGGTCTGGGAGGGCTGGAAAACGGCTTCTCCCACTGCTCTGTGCTGTGGTGGAGGTTATTGATCAGGTGGTAACACTGGGTGTCATTTAGTTTTTATGTTTTACTCCTGCTCGAAGTTCTCCATTCACTTTGCATTAGCAAAGCACCTGGAGAAATGCTCACCACTCTTTTAAAACATTTCTCCTTCATTTTGCTCTGTAAGATCTAATCTCTCAATGGAAATTAGTGTATCATCATTACTGAAGGTGTAAGTGGATGCTAAATCAAAATTGTGTAGTTAAAACAACCAGCAGAAGGTTAATATTTTCAGTAATGTTCCTAAATAGACAAATGAACTACAGAAAAGATGGAACTATGTGTTAACAGCAAAATAAAGCATTTCAGAAAATGAAATATTAGTGAATAAACACTAGATGGAGCATATGTTGCACAGCTGAGTTTCTACAGTCACTTGGTCTCCTAGGAATTTAAGTCTTGGATGTAACCAGCTGCCATGTGGCAAAGAAAACCGGAGCCAAGATGTACAGGAGTTAGTAAGTGTAGCTGAAGCGCAAGCGCAGTCGCTCATCCTTGTTCAGCAAAGCATTTCAGCACACGCTTCATCTCCAGCAAGTTTAATGTGGCTTTTAGCCCACGGCTGGCTGCTTTGCTGTGAGCTAAAGGATTAGGGCCTTAGGACACGGTATTTCTGCTTAAAGCTCAATGGCGCTGGACTGTGAGGACAGCCCGTGCGTGATCAGTTACCGGGGCTCAGCTGGGATGGGGTAACTTATTAACCTGCTGCAGCTTCATCTGGGCACATGGACCCCAAGAGACCTTTCTTTGGGGAGGTGGGGGGGTGTTATCCCCACTCTGGTCTCTGTTGGCCTTTCTGTTCCTTTCTGTACCGTAACGAGTAACTGGCTGCAGCTTTGCCTCTCTGCAGCTGCATAGGGTAACACCTGCCTCAGTTTACAGGGAAAATCCCAGCTACTGGAAAATTTGCAGCATTCTGTGCATCTCTCCCAAATGAAAAGCATTGCCTGTATGAAGAGAGAAATGCAGTGAAACCTTTTAAAAAAAAAATTAGAAGATATTGGATGATTTAGGACTGTTGTTGAAACCTACGAGTATGAAGGGCAGGGTGGATTTTGAGGAATGAGGTTATTAAATTAGCTTCTTGGCTACTTTGTTGTTCTGGTGGCCAGTTTTTTGGGGTTTGTTTTTTTTTAAAAGATAACTTCAGTGGAATAAGTGGAGAGGGAAATAGGCAAAATTCCTTTGGATGTGATTTTTCTCCTTGTTTTTATTACAAAACATGGGCTTTGTGTGCGAGTGGGAGCTATTTGAAATAATTGAAAAAATTTTCCTATGGGGAGACACCAGCCTGCCCGCAGCTCAGGCTGAACTTAACCTCCCACTGCTTGTGCCGAGCTCCCTCGGCCCTGCCGAGCATCACGCAACGCACCTGCGGTTTAACTGGCATGACCATGCAGCACACGAGATATTTTTGTGTGTGCGTGTGGAAATTTTGAGGGAGATCAGGCAAGACTTCTAGAGATAGGAAGGCTCCAGAAAATGAGGTGATCTCACTACATCTGTGTTTCCTTTAGTGTTTTTTGACTCATCATAACCAAAACAGTGTGGCCTGGAAATGACAAATTGCTTCTCATATATTGATCTTGGCTGGGGCTGGTGCCTGTGACTAGCTGAGGTGGAAGGTGGGGGTTTATTTACCGAACAACCTCGGGCTGGATAGGACTTGGCCGACGTCTTTGTGGAGGAGGTCAGAGCCTCCCCGGTGGCCTTACGTGAGCTGTCTACGTCTTGGGATCTGCCACAGGTACCTGGGAAGCAGCCCGTGTTCGGCGCCGGCTGTACGGCTCGTCTCTCCCCCTGCTCCCAAAGGAAGGAGGGATCAGACAAAATTAGTCTTGATGAGAAATATGGTAGTCTCCTGTGTGCGACTGCTACTGCTTGCTGCCTCCCGGCAAGTCCTTCAGTGTTGCAGCTCATTGCCTGTCTCATCCTACTCAGCTTCCCTAAAAAGTTGTTTAGGTACTGAGAGAGAGAAGTTGAAGGTCTTTTTTTTCTGCCCTGCAGTTTGTTTCTGAATGCTTGGGTGCACAGCTCTCATCTTTTTAAGACCTTGCTAGGAAACCACCAGCATCTTTAAATGCCTAAAAGTTACTGAAAATCTTGCTCTTGGTTTTTAAAAGAAGCGTATAGATCCTAAATGTTGGACAGGTCCTCCAGAGCTTATGAACAGCAAAAGGAGATTTTCCCAGCGGTGACAGCACTTAAAGAAAATACCAGAGTGAGGAGGAGAAAAATCTGTGCTGAAGATGCAGCCAAAGTGTAAGACTTCCCACACCCTTCACCCAAATCCCAGCAATTTAGGGATCATCTCCAGACACATTCATGTAATGCAATCCGATGTGCTTTCAAAGGCGTCCGTCAGCGGAGCAATAAGCTGGCTTTGGAATGGGATTTTCCTGGGTTTCTGTCAGAAAGCAATGGGAGTGTGTCTACGTATTTATGGCAGGTAAATCAGTGCACACGTGCACCTTTAGAGAAGCTGAAGGCTTGGAGAAAGCAAAGTTTTACCTTAACTCTTTGAATGTCTGAAGGAAGATAGAGGAGAAGCAACAGTGCCTTCATAGTGTGTGATGCGTCATTTTGCACCACTCGTTCAGATTAAGACACAGTAAACGTTTTGCTTTACTTAGGGTGGGGCAAGCCACTCGAGGGCGAAGGAACATTATCCTAAACCACACCGTTCAGCTGCTCGTGTGTGAACACGCGTGGTTGGCTCTGTGGGTGAGAGAGAGTCCCTGAAAAAACACATTTTTACAGGCAAAGCTCAAGTGAGAACATTTCTCAATAATCTCTTTGGTAGAGCTGTTCTCCTGAGAAAACTAGAAAGGACCTTCCTCTGGCCGTTTGCATTTGTCAGTAGAAACTGAAGACAAAATAAAATGTACCAGCGGTCATAATTCTTAAATTGGTGTGAAGAAATAATGGCTGGTTTA